GGTACTCCTCGTTCACGCCTACGCGTCGGAAATGATCGCACAACGCTCCTGGAACTTGCAATCCGTAGTCTATCGAGCGGAAGAAATCCCAAGTGAAAGAAGAGGATATGATCAAGGCTCCTGTGCCGAGCAGCGACTCGTCACGGCGCAATTCCTCAGTATTCCCCGATCCTCGTGGAGGAGAGGATGGGCAAGCCCCCGAAAGGTGCATGGATCATTCGATCTTCTGTATCACAGACTCGTGAGATTCTGCAAGGAATCGATTTGTAGGCTCCGCTTCGCACAAGTTTGTCGGCGGCGACGCGTGCTGTCCTCCTCCCATAGATCCCCGGAAGCACGGCGCTCGCGAATACCCGAGTACTGTCTAGAAGGAGTTCTGAAAATCACGATGATTTTCGCACGGTTTCGCGGAGAATTCGCTGGCAGAGCTCATCGATGAATCGAAGTATGAGTTTCCGATCGTCAATTAGCGCCGCATGACGAGCATAACCTTGGTATGGCATTCGTACCGAATGTCCGCCCTTATTGCGCCGGAAGTTCTGATAATGCCTATTCAGACGTGCGTATGAGCTCGTTCTGAGCAATGAGAGCCTTCGTTCCCGCTCTGAGCGCATGGTTCCCAGAGTCTGGTCATCCGAGGGGGTATTTAGATTCCTGCGCGGGTCATCGACGAGACTGGCGCGCGCGCAATACGATGCAGGGCAAACAGTTCGTGACTCGCATCGGATAACGCGGGCATCAGAAACCGAAACACTCGGGCAAGTCGAACAAGAAAGCGAGCGGTTTGGATGGAAATTGTAGACTTGAATCGGGAATGAGCGACGCAACTCGATGACCTGATGCGAACCTCGTGCTCGCTGTCGAGAGAACTCTCGAAGTCCCCCTTTCGACTCCGGCATCATCGTCATCGCCGTCATCCGTCCGTCCATTTTTCGAGCCCTCTAATAATTGACCTTGAAAGCGAGCCTTGAGGCTCGAGTCTTACGACATGGCCCGGCTGGAGTCGCTCCTGCGAATGCGCCTGTCCTTCCCGTCGTCCATCAGTACGTTTGTTCGGCGGTCAGTCAATCGGAGTCACTTTCCCCCACTTCATCGGTATAGAGGTTGTTGTTGTTACCCGGTGGCGCGGACGGACATGATAGATGATAGCCGAGTTCGTCCTCCGCTTCTTTGATGTCCGTGCACATGAAGGCCTTTGGAGTTGGGACTTGAAAGCTTCGAACATTAAACGCTCGTCAGCGGCGTTCCCTCTTTTCGTCCCTCGCTCCCTCTACTGCTTGTACGAAATACAATAAACTACCAACGACCGTTGAAGGTAGGCCCGCCGAGCCTCTCAGTCTCGGCGCTCAATCGTGGCATCATTCATCTTCTGGGTCTTCTTGAGAGCCATCCAAACTCGGACTCCTTGGACCGCCCGTCGTTTCCAGCATCGAACATTTACCTACATTACGCTCCTACTTTTGATTCGAACCGTTCACGGAAACGGGAAGCCCTTGCATCAAGGATGCGCAGATCAGGTAGAGCGTCGGAGGTGGAGAAGCCACGTAGCGTTCGCCTTTCGGACGATCAGGGTTAGCCCGGGTGTGCAAGCCTCGCAGCCGGACTCTCACAAGAGGACAGGGCAGACATTCGTGGGCAGGAGAGGGGATGGGGGCTGGTACACAGAACGGACTCCGCATGCGTGCGCGCCTTCTTTCGCGTCAGTGCCCGCGAGAAATCAGCTTTTGTTGACCGTTCTCCGAGCCACTTTGCGGCTACCGCTCCGGCACCAGCGTCAGCAGCGAGGTTTCGGTCACGGTGCTTGTCGGAGCGGGCTTCGCTTGATTTGGTGGTCGCTCCCGTTGTTAACACGCAAGGAAATCGAAGAGATGGCCGGCGCCATTGTTACAAATCAGCTGCACGAACCCCGGGCCTTCTCGGAGCGCCACAAAGCGCGGAATCATATGTGACCTCCGAGTCGGGAACGAACGGAACACGGACACTCTCGTGGGAGGGTTCTCCGCGCAGCTCGGAATCTCCTCGTCGACACGACCTCAATTTTCGCGGGAGTCGCCAAGTTAGCCTCGGAGCGGGATCGGAGAAATCTCGACGCGTTTGTCCTCGCATCCATTTGACCGGTTCATCCAAGTCCGCGAATCGGAATTCCCGACTCGGTGGAGCGGAATCACAACTGAGTAATCGAGAGGCTGCGAACGGGTGACCGGTCGACCGCTCGGTGGAGCGTCTCTCCTCCCGATGGTCGATTCTCGCGTATCATTGCCCTGGTCAGGTAATTCGACTCGGCGCCCGATTGGGTCCGGACGCCAGGAGTCCGCGTCGATGGATTTGGTAATGGTCGACTTGGGTACACTCCAGAATGAGCGCGTCGAAGAGACTGATTCGAGTTAGGGACGATCCGACGCCCTTCCCCCTCCTTTCCCCGACGTCGGCTGCCACTGACCGAGTCCGTGCTCGTAGTAGTAGAAGAGGCTTGATGAAAGAATGTTTTAAGCAGATTTCTGCTTCGTTGCAAGCGCGGTCCGAAAGAATGGCCCCGGAGGCAGGAAGGGAGGATAACAGCCTATAGCGAACGGGGTGTGGAAACAACTCGTGACAGCTTTGCAGCTTTGTGGGCGGACGGGAGAGAGCTCCTCACTCCTTTGGTCGGTCGCATGCCACCGGCACCACGACGTACATGTCCTTCCGCGTCGTGGGTCATTGCCCACTACAGGCGACTGGCGCGTAGTCACAAAGGCAGGACGCCAAACTCATTCCGGAAGGAACGGTATGCTCGTCGGCAGGTCGGCTGACGCGCCTCCCGTGTTCCGAGCAAGCAAAGGCCGCAGGCATCCGCCATGCGCCTGAAAACTCCATCCGAGCTAGTCGGGAAGATCTGAGGCATAGCCACAAGCAGTTCCCTCTCTTCCTCTCTTTCTTTGCAGAGTCGTTCCCAGAGGCTCGGCGTATGAGGCGTCAGCCGTCCTTATTCATGGAAGCCTTGGAAGGACGGGGGATGCGTCCATTAGATCGAATGCTCTTCATTCCGACAGGGTTTTTCGTCTACGCTGCCCGCGGGTCAAGGGATCGAACCATCGCTAGTTACCGAAGACGGTTTCTCGGGAGCAGAATATTCACATTGACAACGGAACGTCTCCCGATTCACTGATTGCCCGGCACTAATCGAATGACCCTGCTCCGAGGGCAACGTATTTGCGCTAATGATAATCCTACACGACGAAAGCATACAGACTGCAGGACCCTCTGCACTTTGTTCGAGAATGAAAAGTTGAAGAACACAGAAGAGAACGGAGAGGAAATCATTTTTTTCCCCATTCGAAAGAGTATGTACAAGGCTTTGAGAGGCGTGCGCGGGCCAAATGGACGGAACCGTATTGCGGGCTATCGCCTGATTATGTTCGTGGCCTCGTGCTCGCTCGAAGCAAGCCCCGGGAGATTGCCTGCGCCTGCGAACGAAATTTCGAGGCCCGAGGGCCCGATGACCTCATACATACCTTGGGTATGAGAACACCTTTTCCCCTCGGAAACTGACCTTCGAATGTCTACAAAGTGCGAAAAGCTTTACAGCGGGACTACGTCATGCTGCGCGTCCGGCGACGGAGCTCTCCGAATTGAGAACCGCTGTCGATCGGAATACACACTGCGGCGGGAATCCGACTCCGGAAACGATGGGAGCTCCGCACATTCTTCGCTATGGATCGGAGAGGCGTCTCGACACTCTCATGGGTTACAATGCATCCTTATCGGTGGTCAGTACCGTGATGGAAACGCCAAAAGGCACACTCGGGAGCGGGTGTTCCCCGCGGGAGGAGTCATTGCGCGCAGACGGTTGCACTGTGTGCGGCGATCGTTCCCAAATAGGTTGTTCCTGCCAGTGGAACACCGGAGCTGCTCCGATTTGAGGGCGCTTCCCTCCCTTTGCATCGAGAGAAGCGGCTCCATGATCGAACGATAGCAGGATTAGAACGAGAACAACGAAAGACTCTGCGACTACGCCTTTAACGGTACCTGAGTCGGTGAATCGGAGCACGACCTGTTCGAGAGGACTTGATCCGCAAGATCCTGCTCCCCTGATGGCCGTGGATGAGCATCAATGAGTTCTTTTCTGATATGCAGTCGTGGCGATGGGAAAAGTTCAGAGAACCCAGAATAGCGCGCGACGGAAATTTTCTCATCATGAAATCTAGTTCAGTGGATTCCCGAAACTTTGCGAGCCTCGAAAGGTCACAGAATTTAGATTTTCATGAACGCCGAAGACCTCGACACGGCGCAAACGGACGACAGTTTTTTCGGAGCTGTCAAGTGCAGGTCTCTATTCCTGGCTCGTTCGCTGGGGCGACTAACACCACTAACACGATAAACTAAGAGTTCACTCGCAATCCGTCTAAATTCAGAGGGAGCTCGCGCAACAAAGCCGTACTATTTAAAGCCGAGGCTTATTGTTTTTTCCTCGTTGTCTCGAAACGAGCCGAGTCCGCTGACGGCGGTCGAGAGATTCTGTCGAGTTCCGCTTCTCGAACTCTATTCGGTGAACGGAGTCAAGGGCGGAGCTGTTCGAAATTGAAAAATCTGTCTAGAAGCCTGAAGGAATACGAGACGGAACGACGCGAACTATTGCTGTACTAGTCCAGGCCATGCGCGCGAGCTCCGAAGGATCCATCAAAAAGCTCGCTGGCTGCCTGTAATGGAAGCGAGTCGCCAACAAAGACGACATCCAGCTGCTCGTCGTTGATATTCTTGCACGTGGACTTTTCTCCATGCACGCCGCGACTACATAGTACGTAGACGACGGCGTTGCGTCACGCATCATAAACGCTTGTTCTGTCGCCATGATCCCACAATGGCCGACTTGAATTATGCGAGACTAGTACCTCGATAAGAAGAATCTCCCACCGTCTAGCCGCGGCGACGAGAGGATGCTCCGGGACGTCCGAATACACTCTCACGAGAGGACCAACCGAGCCGGCTAAGAGGGGACATCAAGCAATTTTTTTTCTCCGCAGATACTCGGACGACACCGTACGACAGTTTGCCGACTTTGTGCTGAAGCATCGAAGGAGGAAGATGTCGGCTCCTCTGGCCGTCCCGGAAGACCTTAGTCAGAATCGAGGCCGTCTCCTCCGACTCGCCGAAACGATTAGGACCAAGAAGAAGGCGTCCAGCAGCACACATCGATCTGTCAGCCTCAAAAACGATCCTGGGTGAGTTGATGCATTCCAGAGTATCGATGGTGGATTTGAGCGGGGAACACGCCCCGTGATGTCTCCAACAGGGAAGTCCGCTGACATACCAAGCGTGGGGCGTCCGGGGAGCTCCTCTGCTCCATCGTAGCTGGTAAGTGCCCGAGCGAGTCTGATCCTCATTTGTTCCGGTCTGATTTCCAGATACAGTCCGAATATCGAACACTTGGTTTTCGGGACTTATCGAACTGTCACGAGTCCGCCCCGATACGAAAAGCCGCCAGCTATCCCTCAACAAATTCGTCAGGGAAATCAATGCGAGCAGTGTACCACGATAAAATGCGACCCGAGAACGTGCGCGGTAAGTATTCACACCTTGCGCGATAGCACATGGTCGACGAGCACTACTTCGTGTACTCGATCCGCCCTGAGTACCCGCCTTCTGTTCCAAGCTCGCTCCCCATATCTCCATGCTTTCGGGTCATCGGTCCCTATCTAGAGGGATTCGAGTATACAAGTGGTGAGCTCATTGATTTTCCAGTGCAACAACCAAAGCACAGTGTCGGCAGTTCATCGCGGGGCTGTTCGCAGCGAGAACAACTCCCCTCATCGGAAGCAGGTCCTGAACGGGCTCCAATCAGAACATCCTGAGGGAGAGAAGAGGCGTCCACTGACTCTCGCGGATCAGGTCTTCCTATCTCCCCTTCTACGGAATCCCAACAGCAATGACCCGACAGGAATTCTGTCACCTCCAGGAATGTTCAAAGACAGCGATCCCACGACCGCGATCGTAAGTAGACTAGGGATCGTTCGCTAGGCTTGCATTAACTGGTTCGAGGATCCAGATCGGAGAATCCCTGCCTTCAAAAAAATCATGATTCGAACCGTCTCGGAATTATTCACAGAGTTTAATATAATCAAGATTAAGGTCGGCGTCATCTTCGGGATGCCTCTCTCGACAGTGATGCGAAGCTCATATAAAGTCGACGTCGTCGCGTCGCATTCCGTTTTCTCATGGGATTAATTCTACAGGAGGCCGCTGTCAATCGGTGGGTCGGGGCTGACAGTCGGGAATCTGCCAAATTGTTGAACCAGTTGGCGAATATTGCCGAGTCTCGACTCCGGCATAAGCCTCCGCTGCCGTCGGTTTTGGCTCCTTTGAACGGCGTTGTTGGCAAAGGACTCCCGCCTGGAAACATGTGGAGCCCATGTGATGAGCCGTCGAGCATCCTGAACAAAAGCGTGCAGATCGGCAAGCCCCAAACTCCTGTAAGGACGAAGCCTTACAGAGGGTTGGAAGATGCGGTGAGTTCCCTGCTCGAAGCAATATCTGAGGTGTAGCTCGATTACGTAGCTTCTCTGATCCGTTGTCGAGCCGACAGAATCCCGAAATGATATCCATTCGATATTTTCTCACGCTTTTCTTCAGTATAAATACATGGCAATGTCATTCCCACGATAAAGAGGGAATCTCTCTAATCGATATCATGTAAATCGGTTCCTCTCCGACTAACAGGGCGATATGGACGATTATGGTTTCATGGCGGTTTACACTGGAGTTTCTGATGCCTCCGAGCTGAGCCGGACCCGAAGCATCCCCGAAATGAGTGACGGCTACTCCGGACTTCCGAACGGAATCGGGAATGGCCGAGGGCCAGCGAATGACTTTGCCTTATTGGACTACAGCAAAGATCCGAACGCCGGCCGACCGAGATCTCTCCACGAGCAGATGTTCACTGCTACTCACAACGCCAACAGTCTTCCAGGTGAGTCAAGTCTTGGACTTGAGTTTGAAGGCGGAGCAGATTTACCCATGTAGGTCTCTTTCGGGCAGTCAGGGAGCCCGAGCTCGCGCGTATCGTTTCGGCGTTCCGAAAGTCGGGAGAGAGTCCGCGAGGATTGAAGAAGATAGCAGGTTCCGGGTGTGAAGGCTCATCTTTTCCTGAGGCTTCTCGACACAGGACATGAAACGAGTCCGTCCACGGAAGGCCCATTGAAACCGGATCTCTCCGAAAAAGGATTGTCGTCAGGAACACACAGTTTTGGAGCGGGAACAACTGGTAACAGTTCTACACATCATGCTCTCGGATACTCTCGGGGATCTCACAAGAGTAGGATTCAAAACTGAGTGACAGCGTCGCTCCGCGTCGGTGCGAGGGAGATTTTCTCGGTCTGTGTCGTATCGTTCGGAACACTTGCTGAGGTAGTCCATGGAGATGAAAATCCCGTCCTGTGAGGTGGTCGGTAGCACGACCGGAGCAGGTTCAGGAGAGTTCGGCGGACGGCAACCGAAGAAAAACAATATATATAGAAATTCGCTGACGCATTCAAAACTAGCAGACACTCTCCCAGCTGGTCGAGTATAAGCCATGTCTTTGAATTGAGCAGATCCAGCGAGAAGGTGATCCAGAAAATCAGCTGCGGGGTCGTACACACGAGGAAGACGATGACGATTGCGAGCAGAAGTTGCACCAATTTCTGCTCCTCAGCCGATCGGTTCCGCTGAGCCGAGCACGCGAGACTTTTCCTCTCGGTTTTTTGTTTCCGTAGCGCGATGATGATCCGAATATTGAGAACCGTGACGATGAGCACTGTCGCCGCTTTCGAAATGCCTTCCCGTAGGACGACATACGCTCTGAAGTAGCCGTTCTCGGTGATACTGGTTGCCCCGCAGAGATAGACGTCCTTCTGGTCGTACAGAGCCGTTCCGTTTATGTCGATGGTGGTCGAGAGCACCTCTTCGGTGAAGTGCTCGACGTTCGTTTGAAACACCATTGGAACGTCGATAACGAAGGCCAGGAGAAACGAGAGCGAGATCCTTATGAAGGCTCTCCTGGGACTGAGGGTGTTCTTGCCTTTGAATGGCGTCAACACTGCACGGTGTCGGTCTATTGTGAGGACGGTGACCAAAAACGCGCTGCTGCCACAGAAAAGATTGCTGCCAGCGAACAAAATGCGACACAGGCCGAACATTACGGGATAGTTATGGAAACGGAGCTCCGGATCAATCAAGTAGATGACGTGTCCGCACAGGTTTATCAGTAGGAAACACAGGTCGGAAATAGCCAGCCAAAAAAGGTACACGAACGTCACTCCACGGAGAGAGGGTCTCGTGAGCACAAACAGATTAACGATGTTTCCAGCGATTCCTAGCACCAGGAAACTACGTAGGATGAAGTCGTGGCCCTTCTGGACGGTCGAGTAGAAAAATATCTCTTCTTCGTCCTGCTCGGAGCTGTTCGTCGGTAAGATGAGACCAGACGTCAGTACGTGGATGTCGCTCACATTCTCCATCGGAAGCTGTTCGGCGCGCGTCAGGGGGTCCAATCAAAGCAGGAGCCTTCGGCTTCGCCAATCTGCAACGAAAGGGGAAAACGAGTTTTCCACAATGAGTGACACGTCTCGTTGAGGACATAATTTCCTCGGGACGATATTATCGCGGAGAGATTTCGAAAATGACCGGATGCGGAGAGACCGTCGCCGTAGAGGTCTCGTCTAGACGTGAACACCGTTCCGGGAAATAAACTTCGGATATCCGAGAGCTTCCGAGAACACTGATCCGAGATCGGTGGGCGAGGCGTTTACGAGATCTCCGCGTTATAAACAAATCTTCACTGAATGAAGACCTCTCACCTGAAGGGCTCTTCCCTCCACTCACTCACTCACTCAGTCAGTCACGTTCAGTCGAGTTGACGAAGGGAGCCCGCGCTGACGATGGCGTCGTTGAAAGGCGAACACCGCCGCGGAAACACAATGACATTTAATCGGACAATACGATTCCGTCGGCCGAAAATACTGGCTCAGTGGCCAGCGTTCGGTCGGACGGACGAACAGACGGACGCGCGGACGGGATGGCAGCCTGACAGCGACGTCAACGCTCCGCCAGTTGGATCTTTTTTGACCACTTCACGAGGCCACCTGCGGGGAGAGATCTCCCGTACGGAAAGGCTGCTGCCGTATGAGAGGGCAACCTGGCACGCGAACACGCATGCACGCTGTGAGCACTCGCCTTTGATGGAATATCAGACGAGTCCGGTCTTGATGGGCTGTTTTATTCATATGGCCCACAGGAGCATTCCACAATCAGCGGAGTTTTTCTTCATTTTTCAAAGTCTTTATCACGATTGAGCGCACTCATCTGATCGCTCCTATCATCAGATCTATGAGCGCGCCTGTCGTCTTTTCGAGCCTCGGCAGGGCGACTCTATTCCGCTATCTCGGAATATTCATCCTCGTGGAGATATTACGTGGATTTGCGTCGGGGAACGAGGAGAGCCCGGAGCTGCATGATGAGTTTTGTTATAGCTCCTTTTCGGCTCTAAGCCACCGGGAGAGGAGAATCGGTAGGCGGCCAGATGGACAGGCAGGCGGGCGTGCTGTAATTCAAAATCTGTCAAATCCCGTTGCAGGTTTATTCAACGGACGTTGCGACGCGCCCGTCGTTGCCATGGATCTCGCGCAACTGAGTCACCTTCAGGAACCAACCAGTCATTCGTGCAATTCGAGTCCTCAGAAGATATTGAACAAGTTCTCGAAAACCTTTTCTCTCAGAAGGAATAAGAAGAAGCCGCTCGGAAAGGTTCGTTCTTGATACGATATCGGCGTCGCTCCGCTTGGGGATCTTTCGTTTCTCGGGGAATCGCTCTCTGATACGATGAGAATTCGATGTGCGCGACTGCCAGTCCTGTTGTTCCTGCCTGTACTCCCCGGTCGAGAGTAAAGAGCAGTCGATCGTTTTCCAGGGATACTCACTCGAAACTGATATGTTACCGAGTTCTGAGTCGAACGAAACAGCCAATCGGAACGGAAATCGCGTCGAGCACTCTCCGTCTCTGAGTAAAGACTCGGGAATCCATCTGAATTCGAATAGCAATGAAGAAACTACTTCATCGAAGAGCGGTTCCGAGGATGGCAATAACTCCTTCAATCCGAGGAGGTCTCGAGCGCTGCAGAGAAGCTCTAGGAGATACCTGAGGTGGGGCCCTCTGTCCCCTCTGTCCACAATCGATGTCTAATTTCCCCCCCTGATTTTTCTCTGAGGATACTGATACGATACCCGGTAATCATTCCAGACGGTCCCAGAGTCAGCCCTGCGAGATCAACACCTCCTCAGATGCGGAAGATGAAGATTGCGCCATCGATAACGGCAACCGCGATCACAATGCTCAGGTCACGTACGTCGAAGCTCTCTGGGATCACATTACTCTTGACCCCGAAGAGTTAGCGTTCCGCGCGGGAGAAGTGATCAGAGTCTCAGACCGAAGTGACCGAGATTGGTGGTGGGGCGCTTTAGGAAGTAACGAACAGCGAACGGGATGGTTCCCTGCCAACTTCGTACGATTACGGTTCGTACTTCGAGTTCCTAATTCTTCGTTTTTACCGCTGACTGATGAGCTCATTCGACGATTCTCAAAATCATAACGAGAGCTGAGAATCGCAGCACAGTATAATCAGCAAATATCGACCTCGCGTTGCAGGGTCGATCAAGAGAACAAGGAAGGCTACGTTCCCTACTCTCAGACATCGACTGGAGTGCAGGAAATGAACCGGATCCGCACGAAAGTTGTCCAGGAGCTCATCAATACGGAGCAGGACTTCGTGAAGCATTTAAGAGACATCGTCGAGGTAAACGGCGTCGTCTTTTCCGTGCGTCGGATCAAACGTCCATGGCTTGAGATGCGGGAGACTGAACTATTGCGAAGAACCGTCGTGACAGGGACTCATAACGGTGATTCCTTTCTGCAGGGATACTTGCTGCGCTGCCGTAGCCGGCCCGCGATGTTTACATTGGAGCAGATAGCCACAATCTTCGGGAATGTCGAGCAGCTTTACGTCTTCCAAAAAAGCTTCCTCACTAAGCTCGCATCCTGCGTCAACACCCAACAGCCCCATGCCAGTTGTGTCGGGGAGTGCTTTTTGCGTTTCGTGAGCATTCATCCGATTATTTTCCTACAGCTTCCTGTATACCTCCTTACAATCGAAACCTTGCCGGATGTCTGAGCGCTATTGCATGTGCATGTCAATTCTAGTGATCTCGTCATGTGCTGGAAGTCGGGAAGGATATTCACCGGGAGCACTTCGGCAATATCATGGCAATTCTCATAAAACCGATTTCTATTCCAGCGCAAAGAATTCTCAATATACTCCGAATACTGCAACAATCATCCACTGGCCATGGCGGAGCTCGAACAATTGTATCGGAAGCCCGAATACTGTCAGTTCTTCGAGGAGTGCCGGAGGCTCCGCGGCGGGATGAGTGATATTTCTCTCGATGGCTTCCTCTTGACGCCGGTGCAAAGAATCTGCAAGTACCCGCTCCAGCTAGCAGAACTCCTGAAATATACGCCACCGGGACATCCGGACCGCGCTCACGTCACGCTTGCTTTGGAATCGATGCGTGGAGTCGCACACATGGTGAGCTTCACTAAATGTCCGGAGATTCCTTCAATACCGGTACTCCGGCTCAAAATTCGCTGACAACGATCCGAAGATCGCGGCTATACATATTGCAATCGTTTTCATTTCCCCCGTCCATCTGCAGGTGAACGAGCGGAAACGACGGATGGAGAGTCTCGAAACCCTCGAAGTATGGCAGAGAGCTGTCTTGAACTGGGAAGGCCCTGAATTGATTGAGACCTCCTCTCTCCTGATCCACAGTGGAGATGTGACTCGTTACACGATGGGCATCAGTGGCCAAGGTTCTTGCAACAAAGAAGTCGTCACCATGTGGTTATTCGATAACGTGATCATCTATTGCCGTCGAGAATTCATCCGGAGCTCACTTTCATACCGAGGACGCATTTACACCAGCGCTCTGACTCTGGTGAGGGAGGACCGGCAATGAATTACGGAGGAGCCCCTGATACAATGCATTATATTGTGATTTTTGATGCTCTGATCAGCCTCAGAGAGTTGCGACCCCGCCGAGCACTTCCCTTGTTCAGCCCATTACTAACGTCGAATTCCCCTCCTAGGTCAACATTCCGGACGGAAAAGAACCGAATTTCGGCATCACAGTCAAACACGCCTTCAAGCTTTACTGTGCCAGTACGGAAAGATGGTTCCTCTTCAGCTGTCGTTCGCTCAAGGATAAAAATCGTTGGCTAGCCTCGTTCGACCGAGAAAGAGACATCGTTCGGAAAGACAAGGAGCTAGGCTACACGATCAGCGAAAACACGAGGAAGCTCACCAGGCTTTCGATCCTGAACAAAGCCCGACCACAAGGTTGGTTCCCCCCAGTTCCCACTGATTTCAATCACGTCGAGTAGAGCCGATTTCGAACCTCTGATCGACGCTCCCGATACGCCGATCGAAAGTCTGAATCCCCCTGACTTCGGTCTTCCGGAATTTCAGTGCAGGGCCGGAGAGCGCACCGACCTGACGTGGCAATTACTGAGGCTTTGGACGTCGAAGAGGGTAGGTTTCCTTCATTGAAAGATCGCTCCGGAAGCCTTCCCTCTCACTTCGCCCCAGACTTCGGCAAAGAAAAGAAGTGGTACCATTTTGGTAGCTCCAAGAAGACCGTCAAGAAGCGAGTATGATTTATGTTCTAGCCCTCAGTGGAGGGTGCCCCTCGTCAACTGCCAAATGCCGAATGCCAAAACCTTGACCCCCGTGGACTCGATATCCGCTACGAGGCTATGCGTGAATTGTCCGCTGTTCCGGTCTCGTCGTCTTGCGACAGTATCGTGGAACTCTTGTTATCGACTCAATTTTAGCAAATGTGACACTCGTGTGACACTGAAGCCAAAGAAAAGTTGTCTACGTAGGCGCACGTTCCTTTCTCAACTCGGTACTGAGGCTCACAAAGCGAGAGACAACCGCCGAGCTGTTCGCCGGCAAAGAAATTTCAGGATCGATAATCGTTCTGTCGATCTACCTGTCCATTAGTCAGACAGACATTGGTCAAGAAGTTTAGCGAGAATCTCTTTCACGTCATTCACGGCACCGCCGACCGGCTAGTCTCCGGCGTCCACTCCTAGAAGACGCCTCATTGTACAATAATTCTTGTAAACACTCACAGGAACTACTGTAACACCTATCGATGTATTCTCAAAACGAAACTGTAACGAGAGCGCGAAGGAGTTTCTGATGTAAAATAAAATCCCGACAAATTCTGAGCGTTATTTTCGATATCCTGATTCTACGGAAGCTTCGCCCTCTCCACGGGAGGCTATCACTGCATTCCTTCACGTACGAGTCGTGTTTCCCGATCTTCCGACCTAGCCGTAGGGTGCTTGTCTCGAGGCTCCTTCCCGTAGAATGGAGTCGGGTTTTATCGGTTCCTTGGAAGAAGGTCCGACTTCCAAGGTAAGGAGTTATGCGGGGATCACCGAGGACCGACGAAGGGAAGACATCGATATCCTTCCTCTGGCGAGACATACGGTGGAATCTCATACGAGTCCGAGTTCCATTCTACGAGACTCCGTTCCTCCATGGTTTGATCGGAATGACTGTATCGGAACGGACGGGATTATCACAGTGGGAAAAAAGTACGATCTTCTAGACATTCTCCGCTTCGTTTCCTACTCAGCTCCGTTCATGTTCTGAAGGAGATCATGACTTGCAGTTCTCCTTCTGAGCTTGCGGATCTGTCGCTTCACCGCGAGAGACTTGACTGGAGTCTCAGTCAATTGGAATCTTGCATCAGGGAGTGAGGAGGGACTCCGAACCACCGGAAGGAAATATTCCCGGTCCTTTCTCGGTTGCCATCGCACATCAAACAGACGATGAGGTGATGAGGGAGGACCCGCGGCAGCGAATAACGGCGCCGGGGTAATTGCGATGGAAAATATTTTCTCCTGGGCGTTATCAATGGAGAATTTCCGCGGGCCCTTGGCAATTGCGAATATCGAGGCATTCGACGGATATCCCGAACCCAGGGACACGCCAGGGAGTTCGAAGAGATCGCTGCCGGCTTTCTGTCTTAGCTCTGAGGTGGCATTCCCGACTCTCTTGCGGTGTTCCCGATTCTCGGATGTCTAGACCGCTTGGTGAACCACAAAACAACAGGCGACTCGTCATACGAGATTCCCCATGAAATGCTACCATTTCCCGAGCCATCCCACAAATTAGTATCGCCATAGAAGGGAGCTGTCTTGCTCTCTGCACCTTGCTGCGCCGGCGCCACGCCGCTCCTCCCTCCGACAGGAGCAGAAAGCTGTGTTAGTAAACAGACAGCGCGAACAGGCTCTCTCGATAGCGGACACTTCGAAGAAGCATCTGAGGCTCCTTCTTGAAAAAGTTCAATTATTAGTCAGTAGCTGAGTTGTGACGATTCCTGGTGGAGAATTCCCCGATATCCAATTCTGGCGAGAGATTGTTCGATTTCCTCGAAGTAGTTAATTTTGAAGCTCCGGGATCAGGGTTCCCTCGAACGCTGAAATTTCTTACCTGAGAGGTGTTCCAAAGCCTGCACTACGCATGGAAATCACGGAAGCGATGGTGCTGGCCTCCACCCGTATATAACTATGTGGGAGGGCGGTCGATTGCCCGAGAATCCGAAACCGATGATGAGTGATGAGTGATGAATTCATTGTTGTCTAATAAAATAGTAATAATGAGTCTCATGAGCTTTTCCTTCCAGAGGAGCGTTTCGAGCCCAAATACTCCCGAAGAAGCCTGAGCAGGATACGGATCTTCCCTGTCCAAATACCTAAAGCCATAAATATATTCCACACTCTTCTCGTTATGTCTTCTAGAACCCTCCATTTCGTGTGCGTAAGTAAACGCCAGGAATTCTCTGAATCATCAGAACTTTTAAGGCTATCCAAACGATGGGGAGTCGAGTCCCCTCGTCGATCACGGAGTGGGTTCCCCGATCGTGATTCCGTGGGAGGATGACGAAGAGGAATGTGAGAACGTCCTCGGCGATGATACGATGGACGACGTGGTGTTCAGGTGTACCAAGCAAGACGATGCCCAGGAAAAAGCTCTCAAATGTGTTCACTGCAATTACATAACTGAACATCGAAGCTACCTGCAGAGGCACATGAAGGTGAGCGTCGATTGCTTTCCATGGAGCCTGTTCCTCTTATGGAGCCCCTCGTCGAACGATTCCAGCGCATCAGCTCAAGGCTATCGACCGATTTCAGGCGCACGCCGAAGGAAAAAGGTATCAATGCCTAGAATGCGAGTATCGAACAGCCCGGAGCGATCACTTGAACAACCACATGAGGTAATACGGTAGTGCACCCCGAGCAAGAAAGCCGCTCCAGAGGAGAATCATATAATTATGGTCTGTCGCCAGTATTCTCTTTCTGCCTGCAGCAGTCTTTGCTATTATCGAAGCCCATTTTAAGGGTGTCGAGTGCTCTTGCAGGACCCATACCTCGGAGAAACCGTTTTCCTGCAATCAATGTGATTTCCGATGCGCTCAACAAGCAACCTTGTACAATCATCTCAATCGACGTCACTTCAAGGTATGAGCCCTTCGAGAAAGGACTCTCCATTATTCTCTCACATCGTAGCGGCACACCTGATTTCGGCACACCTAATCTAGAGCTCATCAAATTCTTAATCACAGGACAAACGGACGTTCATGTGTGAATACTGCAACTATAGATGCCATATACGCGCGGACATGAACAAACACATCCGTAAAGTTCACGAAGGTCGCTGTATACTGCTGGGAGTCTGATCATGGAAAGGTGATGTACCCAAACTTCTGTGATAAATCATTTGTCGTTACACCAATAAACAATGTCCATAATCCAGTCATCGGACTTCCGAGTCGATTTCTTAGCGTCGGACAATGTAGGCACTTGAAGGAATGCGAGTTCAGAGACGATGACAATCGTGTATAAATGGACAGATCAGGAATCGGTAGTCGGAACTGGGAGATGCACGATTAAACTTGAAGTTCCAGATTCTCTCCCGAATTCGGCTGAATGAGGGAATTCGATAAAATCGCTTAGAGTCCTTTACCCTCTGGGTTATGTCCGAGTATCGGAACAGCCGGAATCGAATATCATGGAATTTCCCCTGACAGCCCATCCGATGCGCCCGACGAATCCCTTCTCCAACCAACGAGAACTCGCGGACATCATGTATAGAGGGCTGAATCGGTCAATAGGGAACCATGGGGCCCACCATGGCTCATGCCGAGTTTGAGGAAGCTCACAAAGAAGCCTCGCTAGAGGTCAGTCGCGAGGAAGGCGAGTGATTCATCCGACTCCATCCATGGAAATCGTGGCTGATTCGATTGAGAGAATGAATAATCGTAGCGGGCGAAGGGGGGCGTTCGGATATCGACCCGCTCTTTCGTACATATAAAAGTGGTCGAGAGCGGCAAGAGCTCATCGGGGCTTGAGGAGTGAGTCCATAGCCGAGCTCCACGGAAACGTGAGTCCTGGACTCGTAGCGCGCTAGCGCATATCAAGTTCCACCCAGAAGGTTCTATTCGTCGAGGAAGCTCATTCCGTTCACGAGGTAGAGCGATAGAGTAACGAGTATTTCAGAGATGAGTCGACTAGGTCGAAAGAGCGAATCCGATTCCGGCTGGGTAAAACTCTCAGAAGGGCGAGTTTCCTCCGCCCACGATCGTCGCACTCCGTGAGGACGAGTAGTGGGGCGAGGTCTGAGAGCTTCTCCGATATGATTCCCTTGTTCTTTTGAACATCCGATCACAGAAGCTGAGAATCAAGCCGGATATGACTTCCATATCACGTGCGCGCGCGGCAGAAGCGGTTTTCAATGAAGAGCATCGTGGGCATACCCGAATACAGGATTCTCCTAGGTATGACTCTCTGACGGGTATCGGCTTAGAAAGCGTCTGTCGTGTCGGTCTACTCCGTCTCTGGTGGGAAAATTTGAATCTCGATTGGTACCCCTGGTGGATCTCTTTCGCCCTGGGACAGTAATATATGATTCAAGGAACACGTCGCCAGAAATAGCCGGACAGCTCGTCAGGTGAGTTTAGGAACGACGGAGAGAGGCGCGTCTCCACCGTCCGACAGCGCAGCATCTGACGCCTTCAAACCTCATCATCCTGCTCAGCTATGGATCGACGGTATAGGGGGGACGACCGACTCATGTGATCGAGTGAGTTCTCCAATGAAGCGGCGAATCCAAGGGGAAATCGTTCAGGCGAGAAAACAAAAGGCTGCCTGCCCCGGAATCGTTCGGTTGCCCAGAGTGCTTCCCATTGGAGCTTGTGTATTGAGAGCTGCTCCCATCTTCGGAACACCTACAATCTGAGGCGATGTGGACGGCGATGGTCAAGCCTGTCACGAACATGCTCTGGCTAATTATCTAGCTGGACTCAGGCTCGGAAAGCGAATCAGAGCCTGGGATAAACGAGGTTCGGATGCGAGCGGATCCAGCACAGCTCGATCGAAAGCTCTTCGAGGGCTTGATCCGCGAATTCTTGTCCCGAACATCGGTCGATTGAGCGAGTACCCAAACTCGAAAACTTCGTAGTCACCTCGTTGCAGGTGAGGAATCATCTCGCGAATGCGCGATCTTGGAATAGAACTCGCGTCCTGTGTAGCTTCCCGGAGTCGTGATCATCGTATCGAGCCGGACCATGGAGGCAAGTCTAGGAGCCTCGGGCCCAGCTCGACGTCGTGAATACATACAAATGCATGACTTCCTCTGACGATATCAGGTGCCTCCACCGTCATTTTCTAAGTCGTCCCCGGTATGCCTCGATTTCATTCCCTGGCTTCGAATCGATCTGAGAAGCGCGACCCATCATCTTCTTCTGATAGAAAATCGAACGCGGAGAGATTCCAGCAGATCGTGGTTCCAGCTGCAGAGTGAGTTCCCAGACGGTCCTTCTTCCCGGGAGAGAAATCCGTACGCCGGGGGAAGACATTTGTACACCGCCGGAGGCTCCCTACAGTTACTGCCGTGACTCTAGCCTCGGGGGACGATTCCTGTCTCCCGGATCTCTCAGGGAAATACGGGAGCTGGGAGTAGGGTCCTCCCGGCGACTCCGAGAAGCGTATTCCATCGAGAATCGGAAGAGCGGTCGCTGTAAGTGTTCTTAGGGTCTCCTGCCGAATGAAAACAGGCGATTCCTTTGGACGGCTCCCTCTGGATATCTCGGAGCGATACTGTATATATATATATATTGTATGTTCGTATGTACTTATAATCACCAGATTTATGAAAACATTTGTTCGCCCGTTCCGAGCGGCTCTCCTGGAATCGAGCATGACTGGATATGAACAATAAAATTGGATCTTTTTAAATCGATCCGTCGTGTTCGGCATGGATTGATTACTTGGTACCGCCCAGGTAAGGCAATCCTGCGCACCGAGTAAAAACTTGAGTGTAAAAACAATTCCAGTTCGCTGCGTGTATATGAGGTTGCCTCTTCTAATTCTGCACTCAGAGGATCCGGGAGCTCGATTCCCCTAATCACTCGAATACCCAACTTCCTCGTTATCCTGAAATTCGAAAAGATTCGGCCTCACACTCGAGGTTTTGAAGATGACATCCTCATTATTTGCGGCATCATGGAATGACGATACTTACCCCCACGATCGGGGTGCCATCGATCACGAAACCTGCTAAGCGGAGCTGCAATTCAATGGAACGACGCCGACGTGAGAATTCAGCGGGAAAAAGGTTAGCGTGATTGGAAAAACAATTCTGATGGAATCGAAGGTAGATTACTTTGTTAGCAACATATGATAGAGCGAGAAGTCTCTGACGGAGGCTCAAGTCGAGGGTCGCATAGCAAGATTGCAGGGCCTGCTCTCGGTGTGGATCGGACCTCACTGTCGGTATCCTTTTGAGAGGCCTGAGCGCCTGTGTCGAGTACCAACCCCCGTACGAGGCGTGGCTGTCGAGGCCGACGAGCGTGACGAAGTAGGCGTACTGTAAGTCGTTCGAAATCAGCTCAATTCCCTGCTTCGGGACAGATCTTGGGTGTCAATTATGTGGAGCCGTAAGTAGAGGAAGGAATTTCCGAACTCACGGGCACTTTCTCGCCGGGATTCTTCAGGCCGTAATCACAATGTTCATCCATCGAGTATTCAACAATAGCCGGCCATGGCGTGTTTCCGTAATCGACGAACACTAAACTACCGGGCAAGTATTCGGGCGTATTCGCGGTCCATGGGTCCTCCTCGCGATCGCAACTTTTCCGCGCTGAGGGTTCACAATTCATATCTTTCGCCGATCGTTCAAACCTCCCCATACTGTGTCTCGTTCGTATATCTATGTACAAGGATCTTCTCAATTTATGACTTTGCGGCACTGAGCGTTGACATTCGAACTCACCCATGGCGCAAGTTCGCGCTTCAAACAAGAGGCCCGGATCCGCGATGCGAGAGTCCTTCCTGGTTTTCCCGCAAGAGGCGCATTCGAAAACAAAACCTACAAGGATATTTGAGTGTGGTTGGAACATGAGCTCCGCGACGGCCTGGAGCGATCTACACTGTCGTATCACGATATTATGGGGATAACATCAAGGGTCGAGCCGTAATATTGAGAGCCATACAATCTGGAGTCTCGTTCAGGAACGTCGTCAGCTTATCCATGGTCAGCGGGGGAACCTCTAGAGTGTGTATAGGACCGAAGGTATTTAACTGCTCAGGCTTCTGGAAAGGTCAAGTCATCGAACGAGTGATTGGATAAATTATTCTCCTCTGGATGGGTCGGGTCTCGACGTCCGCGCCAATAGCACGGCAGAGTTTCTTCCTCCCAGATATACTCTGAAGTTCTCGGAGGCTCGACCGACAGCTCGATGGGCAGAGAACACCTGAGGCCCAATCGATCGCTCGTACCATTAATCTGGCACCATCACATTTGGTTCAAATCCGAGAGCCGTCGGTAAGAATCTGAGGCATTCTTTCGGAGTCGACGTCTCTCGATGCCCGAATAGAGGTTTGATCATCGACCCGATAGCTGGGAGAGGGGTAACTCACACTTCCTGATTGTGGTGGAAACATTTCTGCAGCTTTGAGTTGAGGAATCACAATAATTCTCTCTTGTTTTAAATTAATCACCTCCGCTGCTCATGGATGCTTGACGCTCTGTCGGCTGCGGGCCTCTGCAGACGGCAAGGAGGACATGCGGCTTACGTGCATACGACGAGACGATACGTACAAGCACCAACATCACCAGGCTGCCTGACTCTCTAGCTACATTGCGTTCGAATTTCCCGTTTCCACCGTATGACCCTCGAGCATCGTCGGCTCTCGGACGACTGGCATCTGTAACAGAATTTCCGCATCGTGGATAGTTGGTTTTGCGGTCTGAGCTTCCAAACGGGGGGTTCCTGCTCCATCGGAGCTTCCCACTTCTAAGACAACAAGCTGGACATCTCCGAGACTCAGATGTTGTTTTTCGGCTTCGCCACCAGATCAGACATCCTACTCGTCTAGGAGTTTTTCTCCAGGCTCGATATCTAAGACACCGAATGGTTTCGTGAGAGGAATAGGGCGGTTTCGGCAGTTCAAGAGGTCATTTTTTCATTCATCTAGAAAAATACATTCTATAATCGATTTAGGAATCAGGATTCCACTCCCTCTGTCGCAATCAGATCATCATCACTCAAGTCATCCGCCTCAATCAGTTCATCATCGCTCAAGTCATCCGCCAACGGATCTCTCTTGACTCTCAACATGGGTAACATCACTGAGTAGTGAAACAATCGATCTCGCAGAGAATAGCACTCGTACGGACGGCATTCCCTGAAGGCCTCGAGAACAGTCTTGCTCGTTATTTTCGTCGGAATCGGATATTTCAAGGGTTTCATGCTTTCCGTGGGGAACCAGCCACCCGTGGGTCCGCGGTCGCGGTGCGTTAAGAAGGTCACAAAGTACGCGATCTGGAAAGGATGCTCTGTCTCAGTCCAGGAGACACCCGACAGGGAAGAAAAGTGGGGCTGCCGATGCGAAAGGCGAGCTGGCGGTATTTTCCTTAGAACAAATACTCACTCTCACGGGTACGCCCTTTTCATCGTGCGATATCATCACGTAGTCGCCAGACGCATCATGGGAGAACTCGACAATCGCGGGCTCGAACTCTAAGCTGAGTGGATTCAGGACAATCACAAAGCTCCCGGGTAGGTATTGCGGCTCCGTAGCCGGCCCTGGATGCTCGTTCGGCTCCGAACACTGCCTCTTCACTGCGATTGGGTGGATAGTCAAGTTAAAGATCTCGCTCGCTCATCTTTCCAATTCCCGGAGGAAGGATGCTAGCCGAAAAATGTTGAGCGAAGAAAAAATATCGATCTGTGTTCGGCATCCCACGGGTGGAAGAGGGGGGATAATTTAGAGGACAGGGAGCTTCGAGGCACTCACTAGTCAGACAGGTTCGCGCGAAGTGAAGGCCGCCAGGATCGATCATGTTCGGTAGGAGTCGATGCTTGCTGCATCGTGAACATCGAGCGACGAAAACTTGCAATCGAACAGGTTGCCTCGCTCAGTCAGCTGGCATTGCGGTCTTAATGGTTCCTGGTGACAGATCCCCATCGAACTAACCTCTTCGTGGTTGATCTAAATACGACCTGAAGCGGTTGTATGCGCTCGTTTGGATCCGTGACACGAACAGGTTTTGCACTACGTTCAGAATGTCTACGAACTCGATTTCCTCTTCTTCTTTTGGGGCGGTGGCATCCTCTTGTCGCGCCATGAGGATCAACGGAATTTCCTGCGAGGGAAAGTCGACCACTGACATCAGCTACCTCGCGATTGCCCGTCTCCTTCGGATGGAAACTTGGGCTCCTACTTGAAGACGGAAAAACTGGCGGGATTCTTCACCTTCGTTGACGAGCGAATTATTCCTGGGATGGAACGACACGCTCTGGGTGTCCCGTCACTACATTGGAAACGTGCACATTGGCAACCAGCAAACTCGCTTCTGTTCTGGCCAACGCCTTGGAATCCACCTCATCCTTCGATTGAGGCTTAGGATCAGGACTCGCAGACTCAGTCAGCGATTGAGTTTCCCGCTCAAGGGCTCACGAAGCGACTCCAGCTACAGTATCGGATCGCGATGCGAATTGCGGATGGGAGGCGAATGCTCTGAATTAAGTGAAAATCCCAGAGAGCGAGCGTGAACTACTTCGGAGCCTTTCCGAGGGAGCAGGCTGCAGTCCACCTTCTTAAGGAAGTGATTCCTCTCCCGACTAGAGGAGAACTTATTCACGGCTCTGAAAAAACGTCCGAGCAGGCCGGATGCGCAATAAAAACACGATCGTCCCTCCGGTCGTAATTTGGTCGAGGTAGTCGGTAAGATTCAAATATTCAAATATTCGGATCTGGAAGCTCGCCGCAGTCGAGTAACCGCATCGACCGAAGAGACGCGTAGGAAAGCTCGACCAAGGTACGCGACCAAGCGAGGGGATGCCTTGAACGTCCACGTATTCCATTGGCAAGGGATCGGGGTTCACGTGTCGTAGAGAGCAACGGGTCCCTTTGCGGACACATTGTGTCGATTGAGTCAAACTTCACAGCGTGTCAGGGAAAACTTGAATGCTCCCCCTTCGAAAGAGGCAGCCTCCTTACTTGGAACGATCTTCGGGTCAAGCCTCTGATTGATCGTTGCGCTATTCCTAGGAGCTGACAGACGGACTTGCAGAAAGACACCGTGACTTTTTTTAGAAAACTCGACTCTTTATTATTCGTTCCCTCTCGCTCATATGACAACGAGAGGCCATATCAAGGGATAGAATTCTCAAAATCTCCGTGGTTAACGTGTTTCGGTTGCCGGTTTCGTTTTCGACGCCAACATCGCGTGTCATGTTTCGTGATACCACTTTGAACAATCCAACGACAAACAGCATTTTCGAGAGATATATGCGGGGCAAATCGACAAGTGACTTAAGATCCACGTCTAACAGCGTAGAGCTCCACTAACTGCGTAAGGAACTGCGCAACGAACAACATTCTCATGAAATCTGTGAAGCAACATCTGTCATCGATTCTTGAAGGTTTGGCTGAACATTGAGTATTCATTATCGGAGGTGAAACCCTCTTTCCGCGGCATGTCAAATCCCGTCGAGCACTGCCATGCCGCACCCGAAAGAATGCTTGGGATGTGGGACGGGATGACGCACCGCTATCACTGTTATCTAGGTTGATGAGTTCGCATTTTTCGCTCGTCATTAAGATACGATACATTACGGCACGATAACTCAATATACCCGGATGGGCGTACTATTCGGCTGTAGTAGATGCTCGCTTGATTGATCTGCTGACTGGTATAGTGACTGATTGGTTTCGTACGTGGGAACGACGGTGGTATCAATGAACTCCGGGGATCGTTGGCTGGCGGCGTTGGTGAAAATCTCTCGAGTCTCACAATCAAATATATCTCTCGCCATGCGTCAGCTGCTCATCAATTACCGGGCGGTCGCTTGCGATTGCCGCGAAAAAAGCCAACCGAGCCGTGGACAAAACATTTTCGTCTCTGATTGACTGTGTCTCTGTGTCGAAGGGCACTTCGGCCTCGTCAACACCTTATTGCCAAGGTACCTATTGCCAATCTACACGTTGAAACTCGTCAGTGGAAAGAGCGCGCGCCCAGCGACTGACAGAGTTTTGATGAAGCCATCGGGAGAGCCTCTGCTGGTCTAAAATTACGTGGAAGTATCGTGTACAAGACGTGGGGATGGGTAATCATTATCCATCTCTCATTCGCACGACTCGGGAATCGAAAGAAAGAGCGAACTCCACCCTAGTTCCGGAGTAAATTTCGTCATGTGCATTTGAGTGATCGAGGGCACTGGATTGTAAACTGATTAACCGAGTGATCGTTCTTCCCGCTCTCGATCTATCCATGATCTCAGAGGATCTCGATCGCTGAGAACCGATATTATAGATAATCGAATCGTCTCCGAACGGGGCACCATGTTCGGATATTACGCGGGCCACACAAGGCATGGGATCGCGGATCAACACTTCCCGTCGTAGGGGAGAGAAATCCTCGGGAGATTTGCTTCAACGATGCTTCATCGTTCATACAGCAGAAGAATGAGTGTATACTTATGTGTCTTCATCAATTAGCGAGCGATGGCCCGATGAATCTGTCATGATGACGCTGATCCACCGACTCTCTGGGTTCGCTTCAACTCGGATTCCACTGCCCGCATACAGTGCCCATTTCCGTCAGCGACTAATGCCGACAATCCAGCGATAAATATTCAAATATAGTTAGGATATTCGCTGTATGTTTTCACAAGTGGGAGGTTCCGTGGGCCAGAGACCTGTGTCGTGTTCTCGTTTCCGAGTCGGAATTCGTCGCAGCAGAGGAGTTTTTGAACTCTCTAGGTGACACCGGTTCAGACGACGGGTGTTGATTTTGAGATATGGAAAGCATGTCTATCCCGGGTATCCATTCCATCACAAACAAGCAATGACGCTGAAGCAGCCGGTTTTCGCCAATGTTCTCACTATCTTATTCGAATCGAAGGACCGCAGGTCAGACCCGATGCTCCTGGTTCCCAGGACGGGAAGAATCAGAATCCGTGGGACTTCCCCTGAGAAGCAGGAGTGGAATGCAGACCGATTTTCCGATGGAGCTCTTGTTTAGATGAACTCATCGGGATCTTTGGCGATGCTGAGATTCTTGAGCTTCATCAGCGATTGGCAGAGCTATTCGTTGGACTTCCAGCGGTTTCAGCGAAGACGTGTTTGTGTTTGTCAGGTAAGAATCTAGTGTTCAGAGCATTCAATCTGTCACAAGGTTTCTCGAGGTTAGATCAGCTTCTGTTTGCAGGTGCTTGACGAGCTTCGCTAATAACTGTCTAGCTGTGGTTGGATTCGCTGTGGAAGTTCAATGGTCTTTGTTTGGGAACGGGCTTGCAGGGGGGCTGGAGCCTAAACTCTTGCCAAGACCCGAGTCGGAGCTGTTAGAGCTGGCGTTCTGCATGAGGTTACGTTTCGAAGTGGCTGCGCCACACGGAGATATCGAGCGTAGAGGAGGAACAGGAGATGCACACGCGCTACGGCTCGGACGGCTTCCACAGCCCTCCTGCGAACATGAGAATTATTTTCGTAATTAGTGCCTGGGACAATTCGATGTCGAGGCGAGTGATTCAGTCTGAATCGAGCTGCGAGAACGAAGAGGACACGGATAATACAATCAGAGTATTCGGTCGATGCCGATCAACATTGAACGACAAGGATGTAGTGCACGGTGTGCGATTGAGCAGAAAATCGTATTAACCTGAAAGTCCGGCGACAAATAGGGCTGCGAGTAGTTATTCTGCGGTGTGGCACCCATGAAAGGCGCCGGCGAAGGCAGAGACGGGGTGGGACATCTACGTTCGCTCGGAGTTGCGAAACCAGTCAAACCGCTGAACGAAATCCTGTATATCCGTAGAGGTTTTGCACCATCGTTTGAACCAGTGCTACCGGTCGCTGAAATCGATCGCATCGCCACATTAGTCGTGAGATCAGCCGGATAAGGTCGATTGACACCGGTCGGGTTGTATAATCTTTCAATCAAAATGAGTAAACAAACAAAGCGACGCTGCCCGAAAACCAATGACGAAGGTGTATACTAGTGCGCGGTGGGAGCTCTCGAGGGAATCGCGAGACTGATTGACTCGCAGACAGAGACAGACGAGAAAAAAGCCAGAACAAACTCTTCCTTTCTTTCTCCCGCAAAATCGACGTCGTGGTCTTACAGTGTGGCGACGAGGGCGGTGAAATCGACGAGTCCCTGTTGAAAAGACCGGCTTGCGAGGCTTGCTGGGCTGAGCTGTTCGTTTGCTGCAGGGCATTGTGACAGTCCTCTCGGACTTTCGTATCTTTTCGTACTTGGAAGAATTCAGGTGCTGTAGAAACGAAGAAAATGTCGCTCTTCGATGTGATCAGCTTGAGTTTCGGCATTGCGAGGTTGTGCACCAGGTTCCCATTGATGATAAGCCGGATCTCGATGCTGTCGTAATTGAATCCCATGATGTAGGGAAAGACGCAAACTGCAGCGGAAAAAGAGAGGAGGGAATAGAATCGCCTCGGGCTTGTGCCAGCGACAGCGACTCGGTCCGAATGAGTGTCATAAGCTCTCCGATTCTCGCCGATGATTCGACTCACCGACTGCCTCGGGTATGGCATTCCATTGAAAATCGAAGGCGTTCGTGTTATCTTCTTGGAGCTTCTTGAAGTGCGTCGTGTCTGCGGAGAGGGAATCAGGTTCCGGTCGGAATTCTCATCGAGACCTTTTGAAACGAATTTGAGGCGAATCTCTTCTGATAAGACTATGAGACTACTAATGACTCTTCTATTGAGGTCGAAGCTCAGGATGAGCCTCCGCATCCGACGCGAATCATACGTGATTTCCAGGAATCGACGAAAACCTCCGTGCTGATAACGCGCCTGATCCGACCTTCGAATGGTTGGTGCAAAAAATGACGAAGACTTACGGTTGTAGCAGAGCAAGACCTCGGCTTCGTCGTCTTCGTATATGTCCAAGGCCGTCACGAGGTGAACTTTCTCCACTTTATCCAGATTGTGCAGTCGTATAGTGTCCCCGGTTTTTTCATTTACAAGATCGAATTGATGTCGGTAACCGATGCAAATCTGGTTGTCTGTACTTGGAGACACGCTGTCTACGAGAGTGCAAACCACTGGCGGCTCATTCACATTCAGTTCCTGTCGGATCGAAGATTCGAATCAGTTTGAACAGTTCCTGATTTCTGCTTGGGTGGACGTCTTGTGTGGATTCTCGGGAGGGGGACTTTCAGAGTGTACCGAGTCGTTCTGTGGACATGCTCTGGAACCCTACCCGCTGGAACCTCCCAGAGCTCTGTCGGAGACTTTGCGGGAGCTTTGCAAGAGATCTCCGTATTATTCTGTGTTTGGAGAAGAGTTTCTGTTCGTTGACGAAGTTTCGAAGCAATATGGTAATTATCCCTCCGGTTGGAAACTCGGCTCTCGCAACAATTCGAGCGGGCCGTGGAAAGCGAATTTCAGCTGTCTCGACCGCGGGCGGGTTCGTCCAGCTTAGTGAACACTCTGGGAGGACTCTCCGAATTTGAACAAGCCCCGGACGCTCCCAAAACAAACTTTGATCGCCAAGCCCCCCAATCTGATCTGTTCTCTTTGGCGATCCCTCCGGAATTCGTCGTCGAGGATTTCCCGTAAAGGATATGACAAAGTGAGGGATTTATTCTCGTAAGAAAAAGCTCACCTTTGTGTAGACAAATCCTTCGATGGTATCGGTATCGGATGCCGCACACCATGCAGTCCACGCGGCTGAGTGTTTCCATTGCATGATGACGATTTTGCGTCCAATGCAAACAGCCACTCTTAAATGACCTCCCCCGGGTCTACTCAGTGAATACAGGTGGCATCCCTTAGTCCGTTCGAGCCGGTGTTCTGTGACGAATTGTGACGATCAGACCTCAGAGATTTGTCGCCTCCCCTTTGACTCCAACCTAACACCGAAAGCTCTAAGCTCATAAGTTTCCGAAGTTCGGAGCAGAATTTGATGTCGGGTTTGCCATGAAGACCCGTCCCCATCGCTTCGGAGAGATTTTCCTTGTTTGCGGATCGCGTAAAGCATGTCTCAGAACGGAAGGGACGAGCGAGAGTACGAGATGTAAGACGTGTTTACGCATGCCTACGACAACACGTTCCGTCAACTTCCTGCTCGAGTGATCGCGACGCAAGCTCAAAGCTCAGAATAGGCGTACGTATGACCCGGTCAGTTGGCTGCATTCGCGGCTGACATTTTCGTGAACTCGCGCAAAAGTCGCAATCGCCGCAGGATGTTCCGGTTTTGCTATTGTTTCCCCTCTTCTAGGTGACGTCGAAGCAGCTCGAATTTGTTGCGCATCGAGCATCCCACCCTCGAGCCCTTCCTCCCCACACGATGCTAGGACTCTGAAGGCGGGTGGTTAATATTCACGAGAGAATGTTCCTCCGTCCCGTCCGGAATGACGCTTGTGGCGGGAGGAGCATGTGGGTCTGTGTTTCCTTTCCTGACAGGAATTCTTCCCGGAGACCGGGCGGTCTCCTCCAATGAAAACAATCGGGCTCTCTTCCAGGATAAATAAATTATCACCAATGACACGTAAACGTATTCCGCGAATAGAATGATAAATTACCTGCTTCTCTATCACAGCCATTATCAGCGCTATTATTCTCGAATGAGGATTGTGAAACGAAATTAGTCAGAGACAAACTAATTGGAGGCATTACCTCGAATGTCATGACGAGTTTTCGGAACGACCAGGGAGGGATCCAGGTCGAAGTCTGATAACCGGAACACGTGAATTCGGGAGTCTCGACCGCGTTCTGTTCTGATCAGGAGGATCCCGTGTGCTTCGATGACGGACAGCTGTTTCACTTGTACGCTCTTGTCGAAAATCATTCGATGTTGAAGTCCCTCTGAAAAAGGCGGCTCTTGTGAGAAGGGAAGGAGCGCCGATTCCCGGTTCACAAGTCCTATGGTGGAAGTCCCTGTAGCTCGAGAGCGTCCGGGTTTTTTGAGTCTCGCACTTGACTCACCTTCGATAACAAAGATGCCTGATTCAGTCGCGAGGATGAGGCGATTTTCGCCCCAAGAATCTCCACACACCACATCGAAGGGGAAGTCTGGATAGAAGCATTGAGGCTCCCAGGGCTCTCTCTTAAAGAGTGACGTTGTGGCTAATGACGTCGGAGCATCGCCTTTGACTATCGTATCCAGCTGAAAGTCGAGAATCTGTCATCAGGAACATCGTGGAGTCGATTCAGGTGCCGCCATCTAGATCCCGTCCATTTGATTCCCGCCACGCTCCCCTCCACCGCGGATCTATGAGCTGACAGGTCCTTCAGGAGGAATCTCTCCGATTTGTTTGGTATATCTATATTTGCAGCGGAGCGAAGGATCGCACAGAGAAACAAATCAATTGATGTGAGGCGCCCCGTCCACAAGGGACGGCTAAGCGGAAAAGAACAGGGGCGCCAACTTCCTTCGTGAATCGACAGGTTGTAAAGAACAGAGAGATGGAGCACCTCTTATAAGACTCGATATGATGTCAAGCAAACATCGATATCGACGGTACGGGCGGATCTTTCACGAGCAGACGAAATGGTGGACCTTGAGAGATCAATAAAAAAAGCACTCCGCTTTCGGACAGGCGGCTCGCCCTAAGACGTGCCGAGCGAGGAGAGGAAACGACTACCCTCGACCAATATAGGTCGGAGGTGGCGTCGTAGTACGGGATTCGTCCCGCGAAGTGTAGTGTCTTATCACCGAATCGTTGTCTCACCTTCAGTGCCTGTCCGATTCGAACGAACTCCACCTGACGTGCTTCCTCCTTCCTTCGAGATCCACGAGGCGTTTCAGGAAGGACATCGGAGAACGCCCGTCGGTTTAGCATCGTCTGAAAAAATGGTCGGGACTTGAATTATATTCAGCGCCAGAGCGAGACAGTGCCCGGAGTGCGTCTCCTCTTCCACTTGACCGGTGCGGATAGAGGCACGAAAATGTTCCGCATACAGCTCGGAGCAGAGTCGCCGCGGGGACATGCCCAGGGTGTGGCGGCAAATAGCTCGTCCGAGCTTCTAGGCAATCGTACTGAGGGGAAGACAGCCCGAGAGGGAAATACACCACGGAAGGGGTGATCGATCATAAGCTGAGAGCATCGAGTCCCATGATTACATGCAGAGGAGAGCTAAGCATCAGAGAGATTTCTCATGCGACATCACTGCTCCGCTGTGGATCAATATAATTCTAGGTGCGACTCGATGATAGTTTTCGAGAAATGAAGAACGATCGCGCTACGCTTATGACGACGAATACTTCGCCTCTGGAACGCGAATGACTCCTGCGGGGAAGAGCAGAGATATTCCGGAGGCGATTAGTGCGTCACGACGGAGCTTGTAACACGCGACGCAGCCGTAACGAACCGCATCAGTTTGAAATTCGAATACACCGAAGCGACTCGACCGACTTCGGTCCTACAATGAGTCTGACTGATCCTGAGGCTTATGCATGCGGTAGTAAATCACCTGAAGGTCTTCCAACCTCACTGCTGCGAGGGTTATTCGGAACCACCAATAAATGCACAGGAACAGATTGGGCGTCCGGCTACGGGATGCATGCGTGCGTCCGAGCATATATGATCTGGTGCATTCACGACCGTGATTAGGACTAGGCTTTGCGAAAAACCGCAAAATTCATGGAAAACCGCGGTTATCGACTGCGGTTATTCGCTGTCTCCCATAGAGTCCCATGTTGAAGAAAAACCGCAATGGCGGTTATTAACCGCGGTCGCAAAGCCTAATTAGGACTCGCTTTAAGACGAGTCAAGTTCTCTATTCGGGACCGCTAGAGTTGGAGCCTATATATCTGAGAGTGCCTTGGTGGAGGGGAGGGGGTGTGTGCTCGACACCGGATCCTCGGCGGGCTCAGAACCGGGTCCGAGACTTCCATCGGACACCTTCCAATGTCGGAGGGAATAGGAAGCTAGGAGGAGCTTGAAGGCTGGGAGCCTTATGCGCTCTTATCCTCGATAGCGGCCCAGAGGCGATGTCCACCGAGCTGCAGGTCTTCAATATCTATGGGTGAAATGACAGGTTCCAACAACGCGTAGGACAGAGAGCAACAGTCGGAGTGGAACAGCTGCGCTCAGTTCGATTGACTACCTTGCAGTGCAGGCTCTGTCTCGTGGGGCCCGGACCACTGCCGCCTTTTAAATCCCGATTCTGCTGCATTCATGGTCGTAGAGCAAGCGTTAGATCCGAAGCAAGGACAGCATTAGGTCAGGGAACGAAGGCATGGATGTTAGGGTCCGAAGCAGAGGAAGAAAGCGTATGTATGTATATGGCATGACATAGGAAGGGGAAGAATGCAATTTAAATCATCATACATATGAGCCATGAGTTGTCCCGAGCGGAACGACAATCGACCATGTATGACTGTAGATATTGACCCAGACAAATATTCAGCTCGGCTTACTGAGTCGCTTACCCCTCGGTCTGACATGTGTTCGTGGTAGAGATCCTTGATGAGCATATCCAAAGTACGCTCTCTTTTCTGGGCGAAGATCGGTGTGTTGAAAGCTGCCTTCTCGCCATTTATCACTGGAAAATCGAGCATTAAATTCGGTGAATGAACCAGAGGAGTACGCAAATGTTGATATCGGACCCCCGTCACTATAGACGCGTGATGGAGCCTCGGGCCTTCCATCGCCTGAATATACTCGAGTCTAATTCGCCGAGAACGACTTCGGACTCCCGCAAGACATCACGGTCCTTCTCCGCTTCCCGGTACTTCCAATCGAATACATCGGTCGTCAAAGGAAGGTCTAACGAATCGTTCATCGGTTGCAATCAGGGAAAAGGTAAAGGGACGCGAGAGAAAGTTGCGATGCCTCGAGGAGTAGCGGCAGTCGCTTTCATCGAGGCATCCTAGCAGACATCGAGATTGGATTTGTTGCTGTTTCCTGTCTGTTTCGGTATTCACTGCGATAGGAATGCGACCTTGTTAACTCACATTTGACGAGCAGAAATTCTCGGAATTCTTGATGGTTGTGGAACAGTGGAGGACATGGGAGCGTCGGCCCGAAGAGAGGAACAGATTCTTCGGAAAACAGCGATAAACGGAAAGCGTCTTCACTCCGGTCGTACGATATGACGGCGAAGATGTCTGCGAAGATACCATTAATATCAATTTGTGAAGCATTTGATTTGGCTGGGAGAGAATTCTTTTTCGCTCAGGGGAATCTCCGGGAGAACGTCGCGAGAGCCGCTCCGACAAACGGAACAAGAGCGACGGCTCCTACTCACGAGTAAATTGAGATTTGATCATCGATGGTTTGAAGTTGATATGGTCTTCATGGGTTCCTTCTAAGAAAATGATATTCACTATATCGTTGCCGATATGTCGTTTGCGTTCCACCTGAAATGTTGTGGACAGAATCACTCAGCGAGATTGGAACTGTCAGTTCCACCCGGAGCTCACTCGAATCTGACTAGATGGAATTGCTTCCCCAGATCTCTTCTCGATGCACCATGTGTACCCTGAAGTGGCTACTTTCGGGAGTATTGTCATCGGGAATTTAATCTCGTCGATGAATGGAGCACCCGGTGTGTTTTTCGACCGATAGAGAAAACGCCGACGGTTTGGGCGACTGTCTCTCGGAGTTGAGGGATTTTTACTGTCGTCATCAGGTTGCCGCTCAAAACTGACCTGTTGTCGGTTGTCCTTCGAGTAAGGCAGTAGGGTTGAGACATGGAACATGATCTCGTGTCCCTCGTAAATGGTATATACTGATTGTTTGCCGGTCATGTCTCCCTTCACGTCCAAGCCTCCTCGGTATTTGTCCCATCCTCTGAGACGCACTCTATCCCCGAGTAAACTGACGAGTTTCTCGAAGTCCTTGCTGCCGCTCTCTGGAGGATCGAATATCGGTGAACTCGGGATCTTCCCGAAAGCGTGGTATAGAATGAAATGTGGCCACTATCTTGGAGTAGAAATACAAACCATTGCTGAACATCTCGTCGTCGGTCGTCTGGCCTGCTAGAGCGTATAGTACACCGAACTTGAAGTTGACGGAGCCTTCTTGTTCTTCGAGAAGCAGGAGGTCCTGGAACGACGCAATCAATGAATTGATCCGTTCAGGAGGGACGCGTGATTGGGACTATGTTCTTTCAGAACGGAGAGGATTGATTGACGACTTGCAAAAAGAGTTTTTCACAAGACGAAGTCGTCGCGACAAAGAGTTCTTTCATACGGTCGGGTCCTTTGTTCGCTCCGATCAGCAAGCGGGCTGTTTAGGGTGGAGTGGGAACTCCGATCGATGATGATTCCGCTCTGATCAACGTGTACGTCCAAACACGAATCCGTGACTTTTTTTCTGTCAGGGACGACGGCGCAACAACGGTCTCTTCGTTGGTCGAAGGTCGCTTTGTCAAGCTTAGAGGTACATGAATTCACTCAATTAGAGCGGCCTTGTACCCCGCACTGGGTAATGAGACTGCCGAACAGTCCCGAGTTCGTCCATAGGCATGGAGGAGATCTTCCTCCGGAGCTCACTTGTTCTCCGCGCCGTCGACTCAGTTTTCGTGTTCGTTCAATCAGAATGTGGCTTGAAAATTCAGGGAAGCGTTTCCAGACGTGAAACGCCCGGAACTGTGGGAAAATCATCTCCCAGATGACGAGAGTGCGCAAATCACCATTTCCTATTCCGGCAGAGCGCAACAGACGGCGAATAATGACAATAATTGTTGGACCGACGGCGGAGAATACACGCAATGCCGTGAGGGCCACACCCTGGTTCGAGTCTGAGAATGGCGCCGTTGGTTGATATTAGCGCAATTGTCGTCTTACGCATTCCCCGGCACGACGCTCTTAATGGAGGGGGAACGCTCTGACACGCCATCGCCATCACAATCTTGCGGCGGCTCTGCGTTGAGAATTTCTCCCGCGTTCCCTAACGAACATTGGGCCCGAACCGCTCGCCTTCTCCCAACTTCGTAGTATGTAGAGGTATGTACAATGTAAGTATTCGTCTACGCCCGGATAACGGATAATAGTTGAGATCGTTCGCGCTCACCTTCTGGATATCGGGGGAGAAAATTTCTTTGGGGCCCTTCTCGACCCTGTCCAGCGTCTCGAAGTTGCTGAGAATAGATTTCACAGTCAATGGTTTGCTGGGGCTATGTGAAAGACAAATCCGCAGCGCCCCCTGCAATTAAGATAACGCAATATTAGGACCGCTCACGCCCCGGGCTAGTCACTTCAGCTCTCCGAAAGCGGATGCCTCGCACAAGTCCCAACCCAACACATTGTTGAGAAAGAAAGGAAAAGCAGCTAAGTTTCCCCTCATGTGCACCAAGGCCGTTCGCAGCCACGTTCATTCTGGCCAAGTCTATTCAAAGTAATTGTACCCATATCAATTCGGGCACTATCAGAAGCAGTCGGCTGAATTTCCTCTTCGTTCCGACCCGCCGCCAGCATCTTGTCTTGGTAAGGACAGCTTTATTCCAATAAGCTTGTCGGCAGCTTTATTGATTCTAATAAAAATCCAATTTCTGAAGCAATACGGGAAAGATTGTCAGCTGCTCGACCGGACACGATCGCCTGGCGCTTCCGACCTGGTGCTCATATGGGCGATATCCTCTCGAGTCGGATCGGCCGGCCGCCGTCGAGAACGTAAACGCAGAGAGGAATTGATACGTACCGTCTTTCTCCAGAGAATCGCTCTGTACTGTTGAGTGCCTTGAGAATTCGCGTCGGTCAAGACGACGGACAGGAAAAAAGGGTTTTTTTCAGCGTCGGCTCCAACGTAGTTTTGGTGAACTGTGGGATGGGGTGAGGAGATGAAAAAATCAGAAATCATTCCGAATCGCGAGAGAAAGATCCCGATCCCGCAATTTCGAACACTCACGTTTGCCGAGGAAATACTTGAAGTACCATCTTGTCTGATACTCTGGATTCTCAAGAACGGGGGTGCTCGGGGATCCGAACAGCTGCAAAGGCAATCGTTCTCCTTAGCTCTCTGTTCTAGCCTCATCACTCTCGGAGGTCCAAGTAGCCGAACATGCTTGCGGTGCTTTATGTTCGAACACTAATGGAATTCTTCTAGTCGCTAATGGGAAATCGGATTGTTCTTCGGGGGTGTAATGGGCATTTTTTGCGGAATGGATCTCTTCTCCGAGGGCCCGGGGAAGGGTCTCGGCGCGATTTCCATCGAGGGGATCCACACGGAGGTTCTGAACATTCGAAATACCCGTCCCGTGTTGCTCAGACGAAGGGCTCTGTGCCGGGATCGAGCCGAGCGATGACGCATCACAAAATCGGTCTTTGTTCACGCGTGAAGGTAGACTGTCCTTCGGATGAGGGCGAACGTACGGCATGATAGTGTATGCTTGATGCGTATCGGGAACGTTCCATAAAAGACGTTAGATGCACGTGAGGGGAGCTTCCTGGTTGGGTTTCCTCATTTCGTCACCACAACCGAATGTCCGCCAAGTGGAATGGAAGTCAGCCGAGGAGCACGCGTTAATGTCCGTGACCGCTCTGATAAAGGCGAGCGAAAGCATGCGCGCCATCGAGTCTCGAGATCGCAGGAGACCCATTCTCGTTGCGAGGCATCATGGTAGTAGGAGCTTACACGGAGGTATCGGGCACCCCGACGGGGTGTAGCAGCGAGGTTGATGATGACCTGTTTCAGAAAGCGCATCGCGTGTTGAGATCGCTGAGCCCGGCCTCGCGCCAAGGAGAACGAAAATCACAGCTGTTGGGTCCCAGCGTTCATCGTTACCACTTTTTCTTCTCGCCAACGTCCCGTGGTGTAGACCTCACAACACGCTTCGGAAATGAATCGGCATGTACGGGACTGCGCTAATTTTCCCCGAAATGTTCGAACGGTGCCATCGGGCAGCCAGCCGGGGAATCTTGTCTGGAAAGTCGCCAGGAGTGTGTGCCAGATGAAGCCACCCTCGCGCCAAGTCATTGTGCGTAAAATGCCTCTGAATAGCTTCGGTCGCGATTCTCGTGGCCTTCTACTCCCGGGATAGCTCCGGCAGAGTCTCGCTGTTACATTGTGCTGGAATACCGCCAGGGGTGGAGGAAGCCGCACCGCAGCTTCAAAAAATGAGTTCGCCTCTCATTACGCGCCGAGTCACCCAGGGAGTGGGAGAATGTTCCTAACGAGATGGGTCCCGAGGAGGGCTCCTCCTCAAAGTTCGGCTATCTCCATCGGATATTCATGTTCCGATCGACTTTTCCAGGCAACTTTCGAGCGGGACGCGGGCCTTGATTAGTGCACTCGAATCCGCAGCGGGTCCGATCGACGATTTGAATAAAGCTCGATCTCACTCGTTCGAGACCCGCGCGGAACGAGCACTTCGGGAATGTTCCTACCACGGAGTGATTGGACTCTCTTGGTGACGGGTGTGTCATACGCTCTACGGTTGTCGTGTCATGGTCTAGCGCTGCGTGCAGAATGAACAGTGGCTGGCTTCTAGCACTGATTGAGAGACCTAGCTACTCAAGCACAAAGCAACAATCGACAAATTGAGGCGGGTATACCGAGATATTTACTTTAAGAGCTTCGTCAGTTGGCACCCGACGGAAGTGCGACCCGGGCGAAGCTGCCGACACTCCAGAAGAGCCTAAAGAGGAGTTCTGTGGCCAAACGAGACATCGGGTTATTTTTGGCTCGAGGCAGCGGGCGGCGGCGGAGGTTCCTAGACCACCACTAGCAAACAACCGTCGAATCGGAGCTTCATCTCATCGACGCTTGCACTCAAGAGCCAATTATTCCTCTCTAGCAAAACATCAACTCCAGCTAGCTCGTCGAGATCGCTAAGCCCAGGATACGTCCGAGAAACGGAGCTGGCGTGGAGAAGGTTTTCGTCTACGGAAATCGGTTCCCGGACGCCCGAGTCAAGTATTTTCGAGAAACGAGCGCCTCCGCTCCAGGAACTCCTGAGATTCGCGAACCAGAGAAACCGTCGAGCCTTAATCGGTATGATTGGCCCAATCGAGATCAAATGAAGGTCAAAAATGTAGTTAGGAGGAGACATTTACGCTTAGAATTCGATGTGCGGTGATTATTTATCTATTTTTAGTTCGCTCATCCACGACGTCGAGCGTCGTACACGTGATGGGTTCTGATCCTCCTCATTATTATTTTCCTTTTGAACGATTACGTCCGCTGAGGAAATCGATACGTCAACGAAGAGAGCGAGACCCTCAGGGAAATCAAATTCACATCCGATCGGCAATACTTACCTCCTCCTTGTCGGAGCGTTCACCGGTCTCGACGCGGAATCGTCTGACAACGTTCTCACTATCTCCATCACAGGAAGCAAGCTGCGAAAAATTGAAAACGGCTCGAGTGAGTGACTATCGGAGAAAAAATACACTGTCTTCTGCTCGCTACCTAGTGGGTCTTCCCCATCCTCTACGTGTTGTCTGGGAATTTAATTCCGACGCGGAACTTTGTCCGCGTTTTGCACCGCTCAGAGCCGCTTCTCGCACGGGAAGCAAGCGGGGAAAACTCGCGCGACATACAACTTCAGAAGCGGGGGATTCTCGTCTATTTTTTTTCGCTCCCCGCGAACACAAAGTAGATGCGTGGCCGGGAATCGCGATCGTCTGTGTTTGCTTTCTCTAGACCGAGGTCGATCATCGGAAGTCCACCATGACGGCAAGGATCGCTGTAGGCGTTGTCAGACCACGAGACGGTCATTTGTCGCCATGATGTGCTTTGAGCGACGCGACACCCGCTGAATGGGATCCGCGGAAGCCTCATGAGCGAGGTTCCCCGCCGAGCCCGCGTCAGCAGATGATGATGATGATGTCTCCATGCACGAGAGCTCAACATTGGGATGGAAAACAGATTTGCGGCCAAGCCGAAAAGAAATAATCGTGGTAGGCAGACGGTCCCGGCGACCATTTCCATATTGTGTTGAGAGGGCAGTTTTCAGTTTCGCCAAGCGCTCAACCTTGATCGGAAAGGCGAACGACTGTGACCCTCTTGAGAGGGTGACCCCTCCGTCGCGAATGGCCACACTCACCATCCTCGCCTCACTCACAAGGATTGTACGGAATGCGGCGAGAGTTGGATCTTGAGGGTGGAGGGGGGGGGGGGAAGTTTTTCTCTCCCATTTCCCCATGTGAGTCAGCTGCGTATGCATTTTTGCTCGATCTAAACTCTCCATGTGTAGGTAATTCGAACAAGGAAGTTCTGGCCGCATGCATCCAATCGTCGATCCGGACCCTCTTTCGATTGGCAATCCAGAACGCGGTGCCCAATCGCGATTGCGGCGGGCTGAGATCAGCCCCGGAGAGGGATTTCTCAGCGGAGTCGGCCAATGCTCTAGCGCAGACGGCAATGAGGGTCTTTGAGGGAAATACTCTGTTGCGACGCACGATAAACCGAGTTGTTTTCGTTGAGTCCGCACGGAATGATCTAATTGGATATAGGCAACGGATCTCCTCACGGAGCGAAGCCACACATCCGCCGTCGAATCCCACGAGACAATGTTCCCCTCTCGGTTCGTCTTTCTGTGCACTCGCTCTCTTCCCTGGTCTCCCGGTTTGATGATGTGGTCGCCGGTCGCCGAGAAAAAGAAGAAGAACTATTTCCTCGGAAGGGCTTTCTAATAAATCTCGCTCCGACTCAGCTTCCGGTCACGGCGTCGTCCGTTCTGTGCTGGGAGCAACGAGCCAATCGTTCACTCGCGGCGCGGCGTTTGCGTCGGCCCACTTTGCTGCCGTCTGCTTTCGGAGTTCCCCGCCAACCAGCAGAACTCCCTCCGGTTGAGGGATAGAGCCCTGATACGCCTCGCCCGAAATCGTTCTCAGGACGCGAATCGTTCCGACGTACATATGTGTGCACATTATTTTCACTATGAGTCGTGTCTTGCCGCGAGCATTCGATTGTGATGACGACGTGCTTCATTGCTCCCCCATGGGGTCGCTGCGACGTTCGCGGGACTAAGCGATCACTATTCGCCGTCGATGTTCCTATCGTTTTCATCGCCATCGCTGTCATCTCACCAGTCGACTGCCGCGCCGAAGTCGCCCTCGCCGTAGTCGTCAACTTCAACCAGGATCCAGGATACGAGGGATATATAAAGCAAGCTGCACAACAAGCAATTACGCTCGATGTCTCCCATTAAAAACAACAAGCTTCCTACCCTCGGCAGAGCAGGGCGATCTTCATTGTTACTCAAATGACACCGGACACTTGAGGATTTGTTCCCTCGTCCAGAGCAATCTCCCTCTGCTTTAGGTGACGCTGCCACGGCGGGCTGCTCGATGCGCAGGTGCTCAATTCGATCCTCGAAGCATTCCGTTCCCGCGAAGTAATTGTATTGTTTGCCTCTTCGAGTCCCTCACCTGAACTTTCAATGCGATATCGTAAAAAATTGAGCCTAGCAACAACCCACTACGGCACGGTAGCGGGATCCTGCCAACAAGCAAGCGGGGTAATTAGGCACCGACTGAGTGCCGGGGACCGCGACTGGATACCAGGCTTCATCTGCCCAGCATGGAGGAAAATCCCCGGAGAACAGAACGGGTTCTGGAGGTTCTCGGTGACAGAAATACTTCTGGTGAGTGCGGCGCTTCTGCATGGAGATCTACGTATAGGTGAGTTCTCTTGAGACGTGCGGAGGGAAGTGGTTATCGTCCTTAAGCTCGATGTCCGCTGTCGAATTTACCACCGGACAGGTGCCTTCATTAGCGCGGGAAAACACGCAGCAGGAAGACGCAGCCGACTCGCGACCTCACTTGGGAACATCTGATAAGAGACGTCAGTAGTCATTGCAGCATCGTCTCCTACGTTCGAACGTCGTTTCGCCGCATGCGTCAGTCGCAAGCGATCGCAGTCGATCGGTTCGATCTAAGGCTCGGTGGGTGTATCGAGTCGTGGGCGGCATCCGGTTCAAAAGGTATGGAGATCGTAGCTCGGTCATAGATTGTCGGAGTATAAAATCTTTCCGCCATATCGAGATGGCCAAACAGACCCTGAGGAATCCATAAATAGAGCTCTAAAGGGGGAAATTGCGCAATACCTCCGGGAACGCTTGCCCTCTCACTCTTTCCTTCACTCGTCTGCTCCGTGCAGCATACTCGATCCCTTGTTGGCAAGCTTGCCATGGAGCCGGAGTCACTCCTCGAAGCGGATTATGTCTGCTGCCTCGCTGAACTGGAAGAGTTTTCCCTATCGACAAGATCGTACGAGAGCATCGATCGTTGGCGTCTCGATTCAAGGGTCGAAGCCTCTCCCGAAATTGTCGCTGGAGACATTCGCTCGCGTATCGTGGGGCCAACCGAAGTTGCTCGCTCGGACTCAACCTCAGAACAAGAGCTCTTTGACTCCGCGAATATTCTACGCGGAGGCCTTCAAATTCTTCCGGTCTCCATTCCTCGATTTGCGAACGAATTCTTTGGGGGAGTGAAGCCTAGCCCAACGCTGTCGCGCCTGCCGTTCAGAAGGGACCGTTGATAAGACAAGCACTTGATTATAAAGTTCTAAATTGGTTTTCCGACGGTGCGCTGTATTCCGGTCAAATCATTTTCTCATTCCGGTAAGTCTCGCAATAGCGAGGAACCGAATTCTCTCGAATCACATTCGAGGACTGCTCAGAGCTAAAGCTCCGATGGCGTAATTGCGTTTTGGCGGAGAGCACCGTCAGAGCTCGGAACTGTTCATGGTAATGGACTGCGACTCTCTACATATATCTGAGGACGATCTGATCGGAGTCGGTTCCTCCAATCGATACCACAATATATCGGAGAATGCAAATTTCGGATACGGTGCTCAATACTTGCCGAAGACTCTGGGAACACAAGTCTCCACAGAAGGCTCCGACTCTCAACGGAGAGCTCGCAAGATAGCATGCGTCTCTCGGGCAGTCGTTCGCAGGAGTGGAGTAACGGATAATGCTCCGATTGACTTCTCTCCGGAATTCTTCCCTTTCGGCGTCACGCCTCGGGATGCGGAACTTCGTTTCCTCATTTCTTTTCCTTCTCTCCACATCATCATCGCGGCTCCAGAGCTCCGCCGACGTTTGCGACGATACTTTCCAATAGTGAGAATCGTGCGCACGACGGGTCTCGGAATCGGAAACATCTTTCTTCAAGAGGGGCCTCTCGAGGCGATTCCGGATAGATTTCCACCCGATAACAGGCTTGAGTTACATCGAGAGACGCCTCATGCTAGAATCTCACTCCAGAGCATCCTCGCTGAAAAGTTCCGTACGAAAACGGAGATGCGAGATCTGATCGATTTCAACGCGCACCACAGAAAGTAGGCGCCTGAAACATCGTCTATCAAGCTCCAAGCAAATCTGTCACTTATCCCTGGGTTCCTGGGAAGGAAGCCGGATGCGGTACGGGCGTTATTGCCCATCACCTCCTCTGATGCTCACGATGCTCTCAGAAGAACCCGAACACTTTTTCGAGATGATGGAAGTTATTTTTCCAGGTTTTGATGATCGTTAGACATCGTCACGGGATACTCGCCAGGTCCTGATCACAGAAATATCGCGGATAATCGCGAGGAAATAGTCGAATCAGCTATGGAAACGTGGAGGAATATTGGCTTTGAAGGGATACCGGATTCCATTGTTTCCCTCCTCGCGACTGTCCCGAGATCAGATAGCGAGCATCTAATGTAATGAATGAAGCGACCAACTGAAGGTCGTCGTTTCAATCATGCGGAAATTTCGTTTACTCAAGGATCGCGCTTCGATCGCTCCCTTGATTTTGTCTCGTGAGCTTCCGCTATCCAATATTTTATTATGAGAAGGTAGTAAGTCGACCGGACGAGATCTGAGCGTTTGCCCTTACCTCTGGCGATCCTCACCGTGGAACCATCACGTATATTCAAGCCGATCGCTACCGTGAACGAAGACACATTACATGCGTCTCGCTCATTCGGAAATGCCTTCTTATAATATATTCCCGCTCTCACATTCTCGACCTTATCGTTACAGCGAGCGACTTCGTTCACGAGGAACTCCCTGTCATGTCCGAGGAACAGACGATTCGCGCTGAAATGATTCTTTGGAACGGATCTCCGCCCAACGCCCCAGCACTTGACGGCTCAATCTCTAAAACAGACTGGCTCCCAGTTTCTCTCAAGATTTTCGCTATAAATTACAGTCTCGTATCCATATGGCGTGTTCCCATCGACTTAATATCCATCGCACACAGCAATCGGCGATATCTCGCAGAGCTCACCATTTCGACGGAACCATAGTGTCGACGACTGAAGACACCTCTCCGTGCGGCGAGATCGGTGGCGGATGAACTGAAAGGAAGATTTGCAAAATTCAGTTCCTCATTCATCCGGATAACGGGAAATCCCGCCTCGGGTTCTGGATCTGGCTACCTGCGCGGGAAAAACTCGATTCGGGAAGAGTAGGGGTGAAAAAAAACATGGGGAGGTCGCCATTCTATAGTCAAGCAAATTAGAAGGATCAGACGCGCTCGTAGCTCCGCGGGCCGAATGTTGAGCACGTTCGCTTCTGCCTTGGGAGGAGCTTCAGCGATTTAATGAGGATCACTCGGTGCAGAAAAATCGAATCGCGAGATAGTAGGTTCCCCTCCCGCACGCGACGCAGCGTCTGAGGCGACCCCGTCGTCGCTGCGAGGGACCGATTTGGCGTCCGTGACAGGTGTTGGATGGCTTTCATTTCTTCGTCGAACGGCGTGAGCAGCCACTTGCCGCGACTAGATCTTGTCATTGTTGTCTTATAACCTGATGCGCCTGGTCTCAAGTGAGCTTTTAGTACTATTAGCTATCGAGTCCGCTGCAGGGCTCTCTGGCGAAGCGGCGGCTGCCACCAAATGCCGAGTGGTTGCTTGCGGGGTTTATTCCGTCGGCTCGAACCGCTGCGTAGAAGATGGAACAGAGAAAAAAATCCAACTCCAGATGCTCTGCGTCGTTTCTCTCCCGTCAGTAGAAAAACGCTTGCGACCATCGCAGTCAGTTTGTCCGAAGTTACCATCGGCGGCCCATCTGAATTCCTCGGGGAAAAGCGCGCGGTTCCCCCCTCCGACGCGACAACGAGCGGGGGTAGGAATGACACGCAGCTGGCATTGTTCTGCAATGAGCCACGGAGCCCTGCGGTCGGAGAATCGAGAAGAGTTCGGACCGCGTCTTGACTGAATCATCGCGATAGGTAAAATCAAGCGAGCGATGGTCTTCGCCGAGCTCGCAGAAGCATTCAATGAGTGAAATTCGTGCTCAGCGGCCGGCGCCGGACGAGCACGTCACCCCTAAGCCGAGCGAGCGATAGAACACGTCGTACTTCGAACGTGACTGAACAATGCGTATAGGCTGTTGCCGCTATGGCTGGAGCGGCGTCCTCGACCGTCGTCACTTTGGGGAAGGTACGTCTTTTCGTAGCTCGTTTCTAGAGTCTCTCTCTGCTCTCTTCTATATTCTTCTTGAGCAGAAGCGGCGGATTGGAGGAGGACGTGAGTGGATGAAGCGGTAGGAAGAACGAGCGGGCGGGCGGGCGGGCGAGCGAGCGAACTCGATGGTTTGAACGATGACACGGACTGAAGACGACGGAGAGTGTTCACTGAGCAGCCTCCGTGTTGGCTTTTCGGTTCATTCGGAGAGCTTGGTCGTTCGAGAGGTGATACGCCCGGTCGCGGAAAACTTCGCTTCTTCCTATACAGGACGATTCCTGCCATTCGCCACCGGCTCGCCAGAAGGCAGCTCCTGAGGCTGATGGTTCGATAATTGATCCTCGTATGATACATATGCAGTAATCTGCATTTCCGATTATTCCGAACCAGCCTTGTATACGACTCGGTGTCCCGAGTGAGCTCGGCCAGAGCCGAAAGACGAAACTGAGGAGAGCGGGCACCTCTGGAGCTTCTCGTCCGGCACGAGTGTCGCCCCTTGCACGTACCCATGTTCTAAGTTTCGTCCTCAGAGTTCCATGTCTTTCTGTGAGCACAGACGACAGGCTTCTCGGTCCTTTCCCAGAAAAGACCAGATAAATCCTGTCTAACCGAGACATCGCTAATGATCCCTCTGGATATCTTGACGCCCGAGCGTTTCTTCTTCAGAGGGAATCTCCGACGGAAGCCTCCGCACCAGAAGGAACGAAGCAAGCTGCCATCGCCGCTCCGTGACCTCGATACTCATTGTCCGCCTAACACGGTCACAACCCCACGTCGAGGATTCAGGCTTTTTCCAACCGGAACTCCCCAGAGCAGCTCCTGTTCTTGGCTAAGTAGATGGCCGTTCCGGGAGCGGTAAAGGTGACGGCGACGGCCGCTTCGAGCGATGGTGGTTTGAGGACGAATTCAAAAGTGCTTCCCGACCTCGTGACGGAGGAAGGGAGGAAATTGAAAATGTCCGGCCGAGTGAATTTGATTTGCTCGTTTCCTCCCCAAATGACACTCCGGCAGACAGTGTCATTTGGGAAGCAAATAGGGAACACGCCGGAAACTTCGGAAAGAAACTCAATCGACACAAATGTGGCGAACGAGAACATACGGACGACTCATGGTACCTCTGGATGGAAACGGCACGGGAGTCTGAAGCCGCAGTTCCGAACTCAATGCCCGCCGCGGCGACAATGGGGAGGCCTCCGAGCCTTCTTCTTGGAGGTGCCGCTTCATGTCGACGCTCACAATACTCTTCGAGGCCGACGATCTCTCTGGTCGCCGAGCGACTGACCAGGGGAACGCATCGATCCATCAGACCGAGGCACCGTTGCATGGGAGAGCCCGTCCGTTGAAAGCTTGGGGCGTTCTTTCCTGCAATTCATCCGACCGCGACTCGTAGCATACGTCCCAGCTGAGCCGCTGTTCGCCCTTTGCTCAGTAACAACAGGTCGTCCGTTATGCCCAACGAGACGCACGTAATTTGTCGTGTGGGCGTCAGACGCCTGAATCAAGAACAAGAAACGGCACTCGGAACGCGAGCGGTGCGTGCAAGCCAGACAAGGAGCGAGTCGGTGAGCCCTGATACATGTGTGTGGGAGAATCAACTTTCCTTGACGAGCCGTCGGCTTAGAACTCCGGTCTGTGATGGAACTTCCAGCAGCGTCTTTGTCGTGGTTCGGATTCCAATCCGAGATCCGTCTTAGAGCAGCGCGGCGGTGATGTGCATAGTATGCTAGCAGCATCGAACACAGACATCAGTCGGCCAGTTCCGCTTCGAAACGCCCTCACGTGTGGAGTTGGGACACAGCGGCGAACGCGAGCTTGATTCCTCGGTCGCTCGAACGTTCAGAAGACTGGGAAACATGGCGAGAAGCACGACGGCCGCCGCGCGGTTCCGGACGGGCGGTCAGCGTAAGGTTAAGCGATTCTGGCCTCAGGACAACAAGCTTTCTGAGGCTTTGAACGAATAAAAAACATCCTTTCAAAGAGCGAAGGCTCTGTATATGTTCGTGGCTGCTCGTACGGGAGCCTTAATCTCGAACGAATTCTTTGTGCCTTTATTTGGTTTGCTTTCCCTCTTGCGTCCCGCATCAATTCTCGAACGAAGTAATATCATCGAAACCCTGACCGTCTTTCCTTCCTTCCGTTTCCCGCAGTTCCAACAAGTGGAGCGAAACGCCGGGTACGATTTCTTTTGCTCTCCTCAGATTTCGAAAATGCCGCACGATCGACCGACCGACACACCCACTCATCCCCCGACCGACCGACCGACTGGCTGGCTGGCTGGCTGCCTGAGTAAATGTGGGTTTCCAGCTCCCCTCGATATTTCCCCGCTGCTGGTGGTTGATACTTGTTACGTGCAGTGATTCCCTCCGCTGAATCTCGATACCGACAGGCACTCGCGAGGGCACCTGCGGCTATTTGTGGCCCCGTCGACTTCGAGGAACGCAGCTTTCGGGACGCGGTCGTTGCGCTCTCCGCATGGGTTCGAAGATTGGGAAGAAATTAATTACCAGGATAAATAGAATTGCGATGAAATCGGATTGTGGGAACGGAGCTGAGCATGAGCGCTCGGGCCGTTCACGGCATCGAGCGCCGCTGTCGAAGATTCCCGAATCGCTGCGGTCGAATCTTCTCAACGACCGGTTCCGCCCTCCGTCCAGACTGCGATCGCATTGCCGTTTGTCGGTCGACCTTAGTTGTAAGTGGTTATGTATGTGCGTCGCGTGTTCGTCCGTTCCCACTGCTGGCCGCGTGCCCCCGTAGGATCGCCCCAAGGGAAGGATACCGCGCTGCCTTCAATTATTATTCGCGCGGCCGACCGCGGAGCGATTACATCGGGGCCCTCAAGTCTTTGATGAGTTCCCCGTTTGATCGCGTGCCCGGAGTATTACGGAATCGTCTCTTCGTGTATTCATCCCTGACCGAGTCTATTGTGCATCGGAATAAGGGACCAACGGCCTCCGACAGGTTCCCCAGAGCCAGTCGCCTGAGGGCGGAAACTTCGGGGAGAGGGGATCCGGAATGCTTCGGAAGCTGCTTGGCACGTGATATCGACGGCAATGCGGGATCGGTCAGTCCCGCTCCTTCGGGCTTCGCGCTTCCGTCCGGTCGGAAGTTGGCCGTTTGTGAATTGTTCAAACTCGAGAATGACACCGTCCTGCGGGGAACGGATCCCGAGGTTTTCAGCCTCTAGACCCGGGTCTTGCCCCCCTGTCTCGCAGTCGCCCTCGACCGTGACAAAAGTGACCCGGAGGCTCCCACGGAGTTCCCATCGGAGACGGAGAACTCTCTTCTTTTCCAAGGCCATAGGCAAGACTCGTTCCCACCACTACCGGAATCCAGACCGGCTTCCTGAGCCAAATCGTTCCTAGAAACGGTTCGGCCCCTAGTCTATTCATCAGGTCCGTCCTGGAAAGTCGGGCGCTTCGATCCTGTTGAATAAGCCGGGAACTTCAGGACGAAGATCCGCCCGACCAGGCGGTCGATATTAAGGAAAGGCACAGCATGTCACATCTGCCGGCCTGAAAAGTAGGCTAGCTGGCCGCCTGCTTGGAAGCCTATCTGCCCCTTACCCTGTTCCCATCCCACTGTAGTGGATTTAGCATCCAAGGACACCTCCCTGCGCGAGCACAGCTGGACCCAACGACCTTCCAAAGTTGCATGAGCGTCCTGATGACCTGGTGAAACTATTATCAGACAAAGTTCTCCTTCCGACAACTTCTTTGGACGCGGAAGTGCAAGAATTTAGCACGACAGGTGTTGGTAACTCCCACTCGTCGCTGGCGGCGGGAGTTCGCAAGTATTGGGAAGTTCGCTACACGACGTTTATAGATCCGGAGTGAGTCGGACAGTTCCTTATGGCCGAACGCTCGACCTTCTGATCGGGGGATAGCGTTC